CCCTGTATATTCGTTAAAGACTAGGCAAGAGACTAGTAGCATTGCCAATGAGCTCCTTGTTTACATCTTCTTCATAGTGCAATCGTAAACTACCGTGCCTTACTTCGCCGAAGCCGAGGGCATGAGCAGTCTATATCCCGAGAGTGTGGAGGATGCCCCGAAAACGGTGTTGCCACGGACCGCTGCTGTATCATATTTTTGTTTAAATAATGTATATATTTATTTTGTTATTTTGGGCACGTCTCTCTCTCTCATACGCAAACACGACATGGAATGGTATTCTCTGATTTTTATATTTTACGGTATTTATGGATTCTATCTATATATATATATCTCTCTCTATATATATGCATACGTGTCACCTCTATCGTGCCCTTCTAGGTATCCGTGTCCATATATATGTATGTATATGTCTACGTGTAAATATATATATATATAATAGATATATATATAATATATCATACTGTAAATATATATATGTAAATGTAATTGTAAACGTGTAAATATATATTATGTATATGTATACGTGTACGTGTAAATATATATGTCTGTATAGGTATAGTGTATCGTGTAAAAATAATAGATATTAATATATCATATAGTATATATATATTAAAATATATATACATGTGTATAGATATGTTATATATATGTATATATAACATATATATTATATAAATATATATATATATATATAAATATACATAAGGTACCACACACACACAGGAATATACATATACATATCAAAATATCTGAAAATATTCTAAAATTATCAAATGAAATATATAAATATATAAAGATACATGAATACATACCGAGTCATATGTACATTCTGGCATACCTACATACGTATAAACATAACTTACAACCTACCTATTAAACTGGGGCTTGTTATTACTTCATTGATCCATCCTGCAGAGGAACTTCTGGTTTCACTGATTTGGCGCCAGGATTGGGAAATGTGGATATACCGAACGGTGGACACGGCACCAATGACACGCGCGACGCATTTTTCAATTTAAAATTTCGTAGATGGATGAACGAAAGAGAAAGAGCGAGAGAAAAAGAGGGAGAACGGCGAGAGAAAGATAACAGATAGTCAAAGAGACAAAGACAGACAGTCCAGAGAGAAGACAAAACAGCACCGACAGACGGCGGACAGAGACAGACAAGCGGGCAGAGCGAGAAATAAGAGAGACAGACAAGGCGGGCAGAAGCGAGAAATAGAGAACAGGACAGTCAGAGAGACACAAAGAAAAACAAAGACAGGCGGGGAGACAGACAGACAGACAGCGGCAGAGACAAAGACAGACAGACTTACAAACGGGAAGAGACAAGAGACAGACAGACAGGCAAGCGGCAGAGACAAAGACAACAGACCAACCGGGCAAGACAGAGACACACTCAGAGACAGACACAACGGCCAGGCAGGCAGGCAGAGACAGAAGACACACACAGATACTTCACATACAATAGACAGACAGACACACATACAATAGACAACACAGACACATACAATAGACAGACACAGACAACGGGCAGAGACACATACAGTAGACAGACAGACAGGCAAGCGGGCAGTGACACACAGTAGACAGACACAGACAGGCGGGCAGAGACAAAGACAGACAGACAGGCAAGCGGGTAGAGACACATACAGTAGACAGACAGACAGACAGGCGGGCAGAGACACATGCAGTATACAGACACAGGGCAGGCGGGCAGAGACAAAGACAGACAGACAGGCAACCGGGTAGAGACACATACAGGCGGGCAGAGACAAAGACAGACAGACAGGCAACCGGGTAAGACACATCAGCGGGCAGAGACAAAGACAGACAGACAGGCAAGCGGGTAGAGACACATAACAGTAACAGACAGACAGACAGGCGGCATAGACACATGGCAGTAGAACAGACACAGGCAGCGGGCAGAGAACAAAGACAGACAGTCAGAGAGAGACAAAGACAGACCGACAGACAGGCGGACAGATACAGACAAGCAGGCAGAAGCGAGGAAATAGAGAGCAGACCAAGCGGGTAGAAGTCGAGAACAATATAGAGACAGACAAGCGGGCAGAACGAGAAATAGAGAGACAGACAAGCGGGCAGAAGCGAGAAATAGAGAGACAGACAGTCAGAGAGACACAAAGAAAGACAAAGACAGGCGGGGAGACAGACAGACAGACAGGCGGGCAGAGACAAAGACAGACAGACAGACAAACGGGAAGAGACAAGACAGACAGACCAGCAAGCGGCGCGAGACAAAGACATACAGACAAACGGGCAGAGCAGAGACACACTCAGTAGACAGACGACAGACAGGCAGGCAGGCAGCAGAGACAGAGACACACACAGCCACACATACAATATACAGACAGACACACATACAATAGAACAGACACAGACACAACCCATAACAGACACAACAAACGGGCAGAGACACATACGTAACAGACACAGACAGGCGGGCAGAGACACAGACAGGCGGGCAGAGACACAGACAGGCAAGCGGGAGACAACATACAGTAGACAGACACAGACAGGCAACGGCAAGAATCTCATACCGTAGACAGACACAGACAGCGGCAGAGACAAAGACATACAGACAAGCGGGCCAGAGACAACACAGTAGCAGTCAGACCCAGACACAAGACTCATCAAGACAAGAGCGAATCCCATAAGCAATAATGAGTGATCACCAGCGAGGATGAAAAGTAGTAAAGAAGGGCGGAAATCTAGATAAACATTTACAAAGCGAATGAAAAAAGAGCAACAAGGTAAACGAAAATATCATGGAATACATCTCTAATCAATATGATAAGAGGAGACACTACTGATGCAGACATTAAACATTATTTTCGAAATTGTACATTACTTCTTCATCCGAAGAGAAGATGCCATCTCCATCGAGTCTGAAAAGTAATCGTATTCTCCTTCACAGTCGTTCTATGTGCTTAAATGTAGTATTTTGTCCAGTATTACTTTGCCGAACATAATGTTGAAGTGTAAATCATTCTGCGTCACCACATCGTTCACTATGCGTGTGTGCACTAAATACAGTTAAATACATATTGGCAAAAATACACAGACAGAGAAAGTACGTCCGTGCCGAGGTCAAAGTGTACTGATCACGGTCTTGGGCGAACAGGGGGAACGCGGACGGGATGTATAGTAGTTCTGCTGTGATTGGCTGCGACGGCGAGCCAACTTGACGCTCATTGGCTGCGACGGGAGAAAACTCGTTGTCATTTGGTTGCGAGGTACACAACTTAACGCTCCATTGGACTATTGTCATAAGAGGGACGCTGATATGAAGACACATATTTCAACGGAATATTTTGATGAAATGCGGTCTCCCGCTTTACTAAACCAATAATTATCCTAGATGATCAAACGAATGTTGTATAACTAATAAGTAATGAAAAAAGAATTAGACGATATAAGAAGACTAAGAGATGATGATATACTAATAATGATAAATAACAGTAACAATAACAATAACAATAACAATAACCAGTAGCAGCAACAGCACATGACTTAGACGATAACGTAGACGTAGACGTAGACGTAGACTTAGACTTAGACATAGACATAGACATAGATCATAGACATAGACATACACATACACATACACATACCATACAAATACACATACACCATACACAGACTACACATACAACGCAACGCAGCAAAACTTGACGTAGACTAGACAGACACATAGACAGCAACATTGCCGTAGCCGTAGACATAGACAGCAACAGTGACGTAGACGTAGACGTTAGACATAGACATAGACCAGACATATACATAGACATAGACAGACATGTACATGAACAATAAACAATAAACAATGATATAAAAATGAAAAAAAAAATTAGTATATAGTAGTAATATTGATAATATTAACAAAATAGTATTATAAGACAACAATTATTAGTATTTATTAGTACTGATTATAATCGTAATGAAAATAATAATAATATGTAATAATAACAATAAACCATAATATAATAAGAACATTATTAGGTATATTATTATTAATTTCATTATTATTATTATTATATTTTTCTTATTATTGTATTAATATATTATTATTATTATTAGTATATTATTATTATTATTAGTATTATTAGTTTATTGGTTATTATTATTCTTATTAGTATTATTAGGATTATTATTATATTATTCATTGATTATATCATATTATACAATATCTAGTCATAATAATAATAATAATAATCTTTGAAATGATGAAAATTTATAATGATAATGATAATATTAAAGAATAAATTGAATAATATTTGAATAATACTATTATTTATTATGATTATATTATGATTATTGATTATGATTATGATTATGATTATGATTATGATTTTATGATTATGATTATTTTAATAGTAATAATAATAAAAAATATACTACTAATATGTTATGAATATTATTATTGTTATTATTATTTCATTATTATTATTATGAATTATTATTAATAGTAATAATACTAATAATAATAATAATATTTTATTATTATTATCATTATTATTATTATTAAAATTTATTATTATTATTATTATTATTATTAATATCATTAATAATATAATAATAAAATATCTTGAAATGATGAAAATTTTTAGTGATAATGATAATATTAATATATTTGATATTTATTATTATTAATTATGAATATTATTATTATTATTAGAATATTATTAGTATTATTATGAATATTAATTAGTATTATTATGAATATTATTATTATTAATTATGATTTTTATTATTATTATGAATATATTATTATTATTATTTATGAATATTATTATTATTATTATTATGAATGATTATTATTATTATTATGAATATTATTATTAATTATTACTAACATTATATTATCATTATTATTAATATATTATTATTATGAATATTTTTATTATTATTATGAATTTATTATTATTATTACTAACCATTATTATTATCATTATTATTATTATTATTATTAGGGAGCAACAACCTGACAGCGGTCTGAATCTCCCGGCTGGTGATGGTGGAACGCTTGTTGTAGTGTGCAAGGCGGGAAGCCTCAGCTGCAATGCGCTCAAAAATGTCATTCACGAAAGAGTTCATGATAGACATGGCCTTGGAGGAGATACCGGTATCAGGGTGGACCTGCTTGAGCACCTTGTAGATGTAGATGCTGTAGCTCTCCTTCCTCCTGCGCTTCTTCTTCTTATCACCCTTGGTGATAGACTTTTGGGCCTTACCGGCCTTCTTGGCAGCCTTTCCGGAAGTTTTGGGAGGCATGATGCTTGTTGGGACAAGGTATGTTTGCGCACGTCAGATTTTCCTTTTATATGGCTCGACACGCGCGCCAGCCTCCGCGTACAGGACCACGACTACTGGCTGATCTGGTGTACACAGAACATGCCAGTCGTCGCAATCTGACTCAGTCATCCGGGGCCGCCTATAAAAGCTAAGCTCCGTCAAAACCGAAATAAGGTTTATAAACTACCTAACAAGCAAGCATCATGTCTGGTCGTGGTAAGGGTGGTAAGGTTAAGGGCAAGTCAAAGTCCCGCTCCAGCAGGGCCGGCCTTCAGTTCCCTGTTGGCAGAATTCACCGCCTTCTGCGTAAGGGCAATTACGCCGAGCGTGTCGGAGCAGGTGCCCCTGTGTACCTGGCTGCTGTCATGGAATACCTGGCCGCTGAGGTCCTGGAATTGGCAGGTAACGCCGCTCGTGATAACAAGAAGACCCGTATCATCCCCCGTCACTTGCAGCTTGCCATCCGTAACGATGAAGAGCTCAACAAGCTGCTGTCTGGCGTCACCATTGCCCAGGGTGGTGTTCTGCCTAACATCCAGGCTGTGCTCCTCCCCAAGAAGACCGAGAAGAAGTAAACACTTATCTTGGTTGTTCCATCTCAACATCGGCTCCTTTAGGAGCCACAGTATCTCCCTAATGAGAAAATTGACAAATCATCAGCAAAATAATAAAAATAACAATAATAAATGCCATACCCATAACCTAAAACAATAATAAAGTTAGCAGCCAATATCAATATACATATATATCAATATAGATAATATCAATAAATAAAAACAATATATAGCAGTAAATATAAAGATAAATATATAGAAACATATCAATAAATGTATAGATAAATATGTAAATAGATAAAGAAAAATATATCATTAAATATAAAGATCAATATAAAAGGTAAATATAGATGAACATATCAATATATATATAGAGAGAGAGAGAGAGATAAATATATTGATAAGTATATAGATAAATATATCAATAGATCTAGATAAATATATAGATAAATCTAGATAAATATATGAATAAATATAGCATTAAATATAAAGGTAAATGTAGATAAATATAAGAATAAATATAGCAATGAATATAAAGGTAAATCTAGATAAATATAAGAATAAATATAGCAATGAATATAGAAGTAAATGTAGATAAATATAAGAAAAAATATAGCAATGAATATATAGGTAAATGTAGATAAATATAAGAATAAATATAGCAATGAATATATAGGTAAATGTAGATAAATATAAGAATAAATATAGCAATGAATATATAGGTAAATGTAGATAAATATAAGAATAAATATAGCAATGAATATAGAAGTAAATGTAGATAAATATAAGAATAAATATAGCAATGAATATAAAGGTAAATGTAGATAAATCTAAGAATAAATATAGCAATGAATATATAGGTAAATGTAGATAAATATAAGAATAAATATAGCAATGAATATAAAGGTAAATGTAGATAAATATAAGAATAAATATAGCAATGAATATATAGGTAAATCTAGATAAATATAAGAATAAATATAGCAATGAATATATAGGTAAATGTAGATAAATATAAGAATAAATATAGCAATGAATATAGAAGTAAATGTAGATAAATATAAGATTAAATATAGCAATGAATATAAAGGTAAATGTAGATAAATATAAGATTAAATATAGCAATGAATATATAGGTAAATGTAGATAAATATAAGAATAAATATAGCAATGAATATAGAAGTAAATGTAGATAAATATAAGAATAAATATAGCAATGAATATAAAGGTAAATGTAGATAAATATAAGAATAAATATAGCAATGAATATATAGGTAAATGTAGATAAATATAAGAATAAATATAGCAATGAATATAGAAGTAAATGTTGATAAATATAAGAATAAATATAGCAATGAATATAAAGGTAAATAATAGATAAATATAAGAATAAATATAGCAATGAATATATAGGTAAATCTAGATAAATATAAGAATAAATATAGCAATGAATATAGAAGTAAATGTAGATAAATATAAGAATAAATATAGCAATGAATATAAAGGTAAATCTAGATAAATATAAGAATAAATATAGCAATGAATATATAGGTAAATCTAGATAAATATAAGAATAAATATAGCAATGAATATATAGGTAAATCTAGATAAATATAAGAATAAATATAGCATTCACTGTAAACATAAATATAGATATATATAGCAATGAATATAAAGGTAAATCTAGAAAAAATATATCAATAAATATAGCATTCCATATAAAGATAAATTTATGAATAAATATAGCATTCAATATAAAGTTAAAAATAAATAAATATAGCATCAATTCAAAGTCTAAATATAAAGAAATATATAATTAAAAATAAACATCATTATAAATAACTAAATCATTATATATAAAGATATATATAGACAGATAAATATATAGAGAAATATCTCTGTAAATATAGATAAATATCTCTGTAAATATAGATAAATCTCTGTAAATATAGATAAATATCTGTAAATATAGATAAATCTCTGTAAATATAGATAAATATCTCTGTAAATATAGATAAATCTCTGTAAATATAGATAAATATCTCTGTAAATATTGATAAATATCTCTGTAAATATAGATAAATCTCTGTAAATATAGATAAATATCTCTGTAAATATTGATAAATATAGATAAATATTTAAATAGATCTATAGCATTATATATAAAGATAAATATAAAACAAGAAATTATTTAATATAAAAATATATAGAGACATAAGTATATAGATAAATATCTCTGTAAATAAAGATAAATATAAAAACAAATATATAGGTAAACTTACATAGATATACCATTAAAAATTACGATAAATATATCATTAAATTAAAAGATAAATACATCCTTAAATTAAAAGATAAGTACATCATTAAATGAAAAAATAAATATATCATTAAAGGAAGAGATAAATATATCATTAAATGAAAAAATAAGTAAATATACATAAGTATATAAAAATATATGTATCCGTATAAATATATATGTACCCGTATAAATATACGTGTACGTATAAATATACATGTACACACATATATATATATATATATATAGACATATATATATATATATATATATATATATATAGATATACATATATAAATATATGTATATGTATAAATACAGTTATATATATACACACACACACACACATATACGTATAAATATAAACAAATAAATAATGTATGTGTGTGTATAAATAACTAAATAAATATAATATATATACATAATGTATATTATATATATATATATATAAGGATATATATATATATATAAGGATATATATATATATATATAAGGATATATATATATATATATATATATATATATGTAAATGTGTATGTATATATACATTATATGTATGTATGTATGTATGTATGTATGTATGCATGCAATGTGTGTATATATATATATATATATATACACATTATATGTATGTTTGTATGTATGTATATATATGTATATATATACATATATATGTAAATGTATACATACATACATATATATATATATATATATATATATATATATCTACATGTGTGTATATATATATATATATATATACATATATATATACATATATATATAAACACACACATATATATATATATATATATATATATATATATACACATATATACATATACAATATATAACATATATGTGTAAATATATATATGTATATGTACATGTATACGTGCATGTATATATATATATATATTATATATAATATATATACATATATATATACATATATATATAAACACATATATATATATTATATATACACCATACATATACATATACATATATAAAATACTATATGTGTAAATATATTATGTATATGTACAGGTATACGTTGCATGTGTATATATTATATATATATATATATATAATATTTAATATATATAACTGTGTATAATGACACACAGTAGACAGACAGACACAGACAGGCGGGCAGAGACAAAGACAGACAGAAACAGGCAAGCGGGTAGAGACACATACAGTAGGACAGACAGAAGAAAGGCGGGGCAGAGACACAGCAGTAGACAGACACAGGCAGGCGGGCGAGACAAAGACAGAAGACAGCCAGGCAACGGTAGAGACACATACAGGCGGCAGAGACAAAGACAGACAGACAGGCAACCGGGTAGAGACACATACAGGCGGGCAGAGACAAAGACAGACAGACAGGCAAGCGGGTAGAGACACATACAGTAGACAGACAGACAGACAGGCGGGCAGAGACACATGCAGTAGACAGACACAGGCAGGCGGGCAGAGACAAAGACAGACAGACAGGCAACCGGGTAGAGACACATACAGGCGGGCAGAGACAAAGACAGACAGACAGGCAACCGGGTAGAGACACATACAGGCGGGCAGAGACAAAGACAGACAGACAGGCAAGCGGGCAGACACACATACAGGCGGGCAGAGACAACGACAGACAGGCAAGCGGGCAGACACACATACAGGCGGGCAGAGACAAAGACAGACAGGCAAGCGGGCAGATACACATACAGGCGGGCAGAGACAAAGACAGACAGACAGGCAAGCGGGCGGAGACAAAGACAGACAGACAGGCAGGCAAGCGGGCAGAGACAAAGACAGACAGACAAACGGGCAGAGACACATAAAGTAGACAGACACAGACAGGCGGGCAGAGACACATACAGTAGACAGACACAGACAGGCGGGCAGAGACACAGACAGGCGGGCAGAGACACAGACAGGCAAGCGGGGAGACACATACAGTAGACAGACACAGACAGGCAAGCGGGCAGAGACACATACCGTAGACAGACACAGACAGGCGGGCAGAGACAAAGACAGACAGACAAGCGGGCAGAGACACACAGTAGACAGACAGACACAGACACAAGACTCATCAAGACAAGAGTGAATCCATAAGCAATAATGGGTGAGTCACCAGCGAGGATGAAAAGTAGGTAAAGAAGGGCGGAAATCTAGATAAACATTTACAAAGCGAATGAAAAAAGAGCACAAGGTAAACGAAAAATATGCATGGAAATACATCTCTATCAATATGAATAAGAGGAGACACTACTGAATGCAGACATTAAACAATTATTTTAGAAATTGTACATTTACTTACTTCAATCGAAGAGAAGATGCCATCTCCATCGAGTCTGAAAAGTAATCGTTCTCCTTCACTCGTTCATATGTGCTTAAATGTAGTATTTTGTCCAAGTATTACTTTGCCGAACATATGTTGAAGTGTAAATCATTCTGCTTCACTCGTTCACATGCGTGTGTGCACTAAAATACATTTAAATACATATTGCAAAAATAACACAGACAGAGAAAGTACTTCCGCCGACGGTCAAAGTGTAACTGATCACGGTCTTGGGCGAACAGGGGGAACGCGGACGGATGGATAGTAGTTCCTGCTGTGATTGGCTGCGACGCGAGCCAACTTGACGCTCATTGGCTGCGACGGGAGAAAACTCGATTGTCATTGGTTGCGAGGTAACACAACTTAACGCTCATTGGCTATTGTCATAAGAGGGACTGCTGATATGAAGACAAATATTTCAAACGGAATAATTTTGATGAAATGCGTCTGCCCGCTTTACTAAACAATAATTACCTAGATGATCAAACGAATGTTGTATTACTAATAGTAATAAAAAAGACATTAGACGATAATAAGAAGAATA